AAGAGACAGAGACCAAATTCAGTTTGATTTGGTTTCTGATCACACTTTTAAAAAAAGGCCAGCTTTGCAGCCACATGCCTGTGTAGGGTGTTTCTACAAGCCTATTTCAACTTCCTGAACACAGCAGAAAAACAGGTGCGTCAAAGAACTCTCTTAGAGATAAAATACATCAAGGGCTTCTGCTCTAATCTTTAAAACTTCATCTTCTAAACCCTTTCAATTTATATTCCTTTCTGTTATGGGATTTTAAACTAAGCCCATTTTACAGTAAAAATCATGCGGCAGCCATATTATGCTTCTGCACAACCCTGATGTAGGCATCGCATATGGCACACAGCGACAAGAAATTAAAAAATACTCGGGACTAGATGACGCGCAAGGGTTGCACTATAGGTTTTCGGGCATCAGAGCTGTTTGCTAAACGGATAACGTCAGTCATATCATTACGTTCTAAGATGCGCCCGATGTCTTCATGCAACACCTCTGTGGCAGCTACAAGCACTACGAAGGATCCATGATCACAGACGCCCTTGGAGAGCATCTCTCTCTCTATTCCTGCCTCAGGGCCTGGGCACATTACACTAACTCCAGCATAACTTACATTGGTTTTGTATTGCAACCTAAAGGAACACTGCTTTCCAGAGCAGACAGAAAGAAAAGATCTCCTGGAGGCAATGTCAGCATCTGAGCTATTTTTATAACTTACAGTTCTGCAGCTAAGTGCCATGTGTTCAATCCTCTTTATACTGGTTTAAGGCGAGTTATACTGGTGTGAAAAAGCAAGTGTCCAGGTGCCCAGTCTAGCTCACAAGAACGCACCATGGATTGCATTCAAGCTGCTCAAAGATCAAAAATATTTTGCATTCAAAAAAGATTTTAAAAACCCCCAATTCCCTGCCCTGTCACTTGTTTATAAGCATGTCCCCCTGATTAACAGGACCCAGCATGATTGGCACACTAGTTATGCAAATGTCCAAATCCTGCCTTTGCGCTTAACTGTGAGCTATCTATAGGGTCGGAAATAAGAGAATGCACAACAGGAAACAAAGTACTGGTAATGGCTGAATTCAGAAGATGGGAAGACAGATAAGGCATTAGTAAGAAAGGAATAAAAGGAAATCAAACCACTGAGAAAAGCTCAAGGAGAATATAAAAGTGAGCACTGAACAGGGTGAATAAAAACAGATTAAAAAAAAAAGCAGGTTTACGGAAGCATTCCACCTAGCTTCAGCACAAGCCACAGAAACCAAGAGCAAGATGAGCAGCATCTTTCCTAAGCAAGAAGAGATGTACACACGCTATACTAAAAGAGGAAGTAAAGTTCAAATGACAACCAGATTCAAGTTCACAAGTCTCAGCTTTTTCCAGAACAGCCAATAATCAACTTCTAAAACAGGTCAGGGAGTAGCAATTTCTTCCACTGCCTTAGGTATCTAACTGTCAAGAAGGGTTACAAGAAAAGACAAAGAACCCTGAACATGCATCTCAACAGGGAAGTAAAGGAGAAAACTATTCAATCATTTCACTGAAGTAAGATTATATGAAGACTGCTCCTTAAAGGAGACTTTCAATTCTCCTTTAAGTCCAAGGATCCCAATTCGCTTCTGCAAGCTGCAGTAGCTGGTTTTTAACTGCCATCTGATAGCACAGTAATTGGCCTGGCACGCTGCTGGAAGTGGAAGGCCCGTCAAGCCCATTGGCAAAAGATGCCACCTGAATCTGAGAACACATTCTTTCAAGGCAAGTAATATCCTGAGTTGGTGCCTGACTCATGTGTACACACTATTTTTATCAATGGTGCATTTTTATTCTATGGGGAAACAGAAACAATAGGAATGCTACCAAGCCACAGCTGCTCCCCAGATAAAGACTATCCAAAGTATATCCTTCAGAGACAAATCAATGTATTGTACTATGGTTGCTACCTCTTCCTAGGATGAGATGAAGAGGGAGTAGAGAAGCAGCTAAAACTACAAGGGCTGTGGCTGACCAAATGCCGCAGGCCCAGCAACTCCACTACTACGGGGCTGTCAAATCTTCGGCAGACTGACTCTAAGAGAGTGCTAGTGACAGCCCCCGAAGGACTAGTCACATGGAGTTTCATTTGGACTTATTTATTACGCTGGCCCCAAACCTTGACATCTTGACACAGAAATCTGAAATTAATTTTCAAAAGATAAGCAGCAAACAGGAAAACGGCAAGTCTCGTTTGGAGCTCTGAAGCAGGGCTCCACAAGGCTTGTGAACGGAAAGCTACGCATTTGACAAAAAGCAGGGCTAAAATGTCTTTGCGACACATTCGTTCCACTTTGACCTTCTACATTTGAGAAGATACCTGGGCAGCAAATTGTTATGCAGGGACTTGCAAGGCCCTACCTAAAAAGCTGAACGACTTAGAAATCCTAATAAGCAAGTCCTGGAGGGTCATGGAAGAGTGAACAAAAACAGAAATTAATAAAGGTGCCATTATATGAACACACCCCAATACAAAATTATGAAAATAAATTTATGCAAAGTAAATGTTCCATTACTTCCCATTTTTGTTTAAAAATGACATGCGCAGAGTTGCTAGGGCTTCATCCATTTAACAGTTGCTTGACTGCAAACAAACTTAACTGGTTGGTTAGTTCCACATTTTTTTTTTTTTTTTTTTACATATATAAAAGACAAAAAACACCACTGCTCTGGGTGTGCATCAAGCAAAGCTAAATAACAAAGCAGTCACTACAACTCTCACCGTTTTCCATGCCAGACAAACCTAGCAACCTCAGTCCTCCCCTCACTCTGCTCCTGACACTGAAAATGATTTCAATTCTCCTCCCACCCAAGATGCCAAGGAAGCTACACAGGCCTCACAGCATGGTGCACTGCCTGGCGGATTCAGGTTATTTTGGTCAGAGGGGAAGAACAAGTTCCAAATTTAAGATGCCCTCAAAGATGACATCATGTCAGCAAGCCCCATGTTTTAAACTAAAAAGACTCCATCTCAACCATCTCTGCTGACCCCAGTTGTGGCAGCTGAGTCAAGGGAGGCAGGTCTTTGTCTAATAAGACTTTTGCAGACCAAAATTAAATCCACTTAGAAACCAGCTTTCAGCCATAAAGTAGTGGGGCAATACCCTCAAGGAGAGATACCTCATTTAATAAGTGGCCTGCCAAATTCCACTTCAACTCCTGCAAACAGCAGTCAAAACTGAATTGATAAAAACGACCTACTATGACTGGATTAAATGAAGCATACAAGGAGACACCATGCTGCTTCAAAAACCTTTCCAGTAGCCACGTGTGTACACACACAGGGGGTGACAAGGTAAAACTCTACAGACCCTCCCAAATGTGCTTGCAAGGAAGATGGAAATTACCCTCTGACAACCTTCAGCGAGGAGAGAAAGGACTTTTTGGGGTCCGCAGTCAAGTCAGCAAAGCCTGACATCAATGGCATCAAATGGCTAGGCAGACTGAGCACCAGGTCTGCACCCATCACTGGGAGACCACCTACCAGAGTCACCAGCAGCGCCTCTTGTTCTGTACCCATACGGCTGAGCCTCAGGGAGATCCAAAGGACAGGTACAAAGGCCAAACATCAATGTGACTGCAGTCTCTCGCTAAAGAGGGGGCCGCGAGTGCAGTGCCATGAAGAAAGGAAGGCGAGCACAGCTTTTGTCAGTGGCCAGCAACAACATTTCTAAACTACTGATAAAGTGATCTGCTGAAAGAACAGCCTCCCACAGAGACCCCTGGATAAGCTCAGGTTCCATTAGACTCAAACAGGTCCATCACATACCCAGGAGAGACTGGCTCCAACTCAAATTCTAGTAGAGGGTTGAACCGAGATAAGAAGGATTTAAGTCTCAATTTTATTCCCGCTTCCCCACCCCCAGCCTCATATGTTTCCAATTGTTTTTTTTAATTAAAAAATGAAGCAATGCTCGGAACTGAAATACAAATTCACAAAGCAGAGGTCGTGACTCCAATTTCCAAAATGAAATACTTCGTTTTCAACTCTAAACTCCCCCCCAGCTATACTAACGTCTTCGCCAATTCATGTACAAAAGAACTTTACAGATATACTCACTCCAACATGGAGCTGTTCTCAGATGCATAAAAATCGCATGCCTGTTTAGAACAGAAATAATCTTATTCTTTATCCTAGTGTAACTCAATTCAAGACTCAACAGCCAAGAATGCTCAGATCTAGAATACTGATCTCTTCTTTGTCCTCTCGCTGCTTTCGCTCTAGCCCAAAATATTTCACTTCAAGTTTGATCTTCTCTAGCTAGCTTTAAGTCTCCTTCACCACCAAACTCTTTGTTCTCACTGCCAGACACTGGATTAACCATTAAGCTGTGCGCTCAATGTCCCACCCGCTCAGCTAGACATGTGCTGCAAGTACTAGCGGTAAGGTTTTCCGCATTACCTAGGCTGAGAATTCTCCTCGTACATCCTTTCTTTCCCTTCCTTAAAGAGGCTGATGGTCTGTTTGGTCTTCTTCATCAAGTTCTCCATGAACACCCTGAAGTACTCGTTTTCTCCCAGGGTCTCCATCTTCCCCTCGTAGCGTGACAGGATGGTTCGGAGATGCTGGTACGTATCAGGCAGCAGATCTAATATGTAGGGCGGGCTGTTCTTCAATGCCAACTTTGGGTTCTGACACAGACGCACCACCTGCATGGAAGGAAAAAGGCAGAGTCACCAGTCTGAGACCACAAAGATTTAACAGCAGCAAAGATTGCGCAGAGCTGGTCACCAGCCTTTCCCAAAACGCAAGTGCGTGTAAGACACAGTGACGGACAAATAAACAGTCCCACGTGCAACTGCGGGTGCTCAAGTTCCCGTAGAAATTCCAACTGTCATAAAAAAAAGGAGAATCTTCCCAACTAGCACACTTTCTTCCTGGTGTCTAGGTGCCAGGAGGTTAGGTCTCACACTGAATTCATCTTAAGAAGTGTGATGCAGTAATATTCAATAGGCAGCATTTTTAAATGACAGAGCTGCTGACTTGCTAAATGCAAAGTGCTTCTATCAAAGGAGACACAGTCTAGACTTTTTCACATTGCAATTTACTAGCATAATTATACTGATACAGCCATAGCAAACCTTCTCCCCCCCCACCCTCCCCGCAACAAAGATGCTCTCATTTCAGGAGTGGCCGCATGGGAAGTTTCATCCCAATAGTGATAAAATACGGGTAAAATTTCCTCATAGAAACAAGCCCTATAAAAGTTACCAAGGTGTGCTTCAATGAAAGTTTAGACTATGAATCAAATTTTAAGTGACACTCCAACAGAGACTGCACAGCAACGAAGAGCAGATACGAAGCAAAGGTTTTCTGCTAAGAGGCAGACACCCCCACTGACGTAACAAATGAAACGGGGATCAGAGCTTATGGGCAAGAAAAAGGGATCTAGACCTCTGATGTGTCTCCAGGTGCCACTGCCTTCCATGAGCTGCATGCGAATATCAGGCGCGGTATCTGACCCTCTGCAGTCACTTCCCACTTGTACGTGCACCTTCTCAGAACAGCACTCGATATTTAAAATTACTCCCGTTAACAATTAGATGAAACAGTTGATACTTTCTAAGGTACTGCCTGGTACATTTGCGAGACTGTTCCTCCCTCCTGGTGGAAAAGTTTCTCCGAGTTGCATTTCAACAGGGAGACTGCCTACACATCTACAGAATTAAGAATACAAGGCCAATCAGTTCCCAGGCTTATCAGTAAAAGTTTTGCCATTTGTGCGCCATTTGTTTCGTACATAGCAGCATAGGGAACCCACTGAGCAGAAGCCCCACGCCCCAAAAGCCATGTTCTTCTATCATAGAGGAACAAACCAGAAACCTACCTATCTGAGCTGGCATGGTATATGCAAGACAAAAATAGGGCGACTATACACAGCAGCTCATGAAAATAAGCTTAGACAAGAGGAGAAAGAGATAGCTTTAAAAAGGATTGCACACCTCTGAGAAAAAGTCCTTTTCTTTAGCCAGTAATAGCCAAGAGTCTCTATTATTTAGTCTAGGGA